CAGAAAGTCACCATTCGATGGGATTGGCGATACTGTAAAAAGGTTAACAGCGCAAGAAAGTTTAAAACAACCATACAGAAACCAAATTGTCACATCAAAAGCTATATATGAATTTTGTATTGAGAAAGTCAAGGTTGTTAACTTCATTTACATAAAGGGGATAGACTTACAATTGCAACGTGAAGAGCAAAAAGAAAGGTACACTGGCGTAACAACTTTACCTGGTACTCGTAACTTTCATCAATTTATACATCTTGGAGATAACAGGGTTGGGAAGAGGTACAGTCACTAATTATACAATAATTCACAATCTTAAAAAGAAACAAGATATATTTCAACTTGATACTGTCACTTTAGGAGGTTATGTAGAAACCATCCTAGAAGATTTTGATGTTAAAGTTAAGTTTCTTAACCCAAAATCTGCAAGTGATAACCTAAATCATGCAGAGAAGTGTTTCAACAATGGCATGTTCTTGCTGAAGCCAAAAACTTAGAGGCAACTTTCTAGTGTTTCTTTTGAAAAAAGATTGATTTAGAAAAAAATTAAAAAAACTCATGAAAGTGCATTTTTGTATCAGGTAACAGCGTCTTTTGTACAACCCCAATTTTTACACATAAACATAAAAGTAAAAAAACTTAAAATAAAGTCTCTGTATAGTTTATATAGTCATGTTTTGGAAAAGGTTTTGGAAAGTATGCAAATTTTCAAAAAATAAATAATTACCATTACACAACCTATTATAAAACATCAATACCTAAATATTTATAAAAGTAAAAGCACACAATTTCAATCCTGATTACCATTAAATCTTGTTGATACAATAAATAATGGATTTGTTATAAAGTTAAATGAAATGTAAATTTAACTATTTTGCAAGAAAATATATTTTTAGTTTAGGTTAAAATATCTAAGTTTTTATTAATTTCTGGTGCCATGGATAATTTAAATGGTGTTTGTAAAATGTTATAAACCTTTATTCGCTGTATTGCACTTTCTACATGAATACAAACAACTGCAATGTTTAATTCTGTCAGCTGTAAATTTTGATTGATCTTGTTTTTTTGGTTCTTAATAATTTTTTTTATTTAATTTTTTTTAGCTTTTAAATCCTTCAGTTTTTCTTTTATAGTAATAATTTCTTTTTTCGCACTTCTAAAACAAAAAAATCAGTTTCACATATGCTTATTGGTAAAAAAAAAAGTAATTTAATGGACCAGGGTAATTGTCCCATTCATTGAGAACTACTTTTGGGACAAATGAATGAGAACTACTCATGGGTCAAATGAATGAATATGACAAAAAAAATTTTTTTGAGTGAGACAAATGTAAAAGTTTGAAAAATAAAAATTCAGTAGTAAGTTTAGCATATGGATGAATAGTTTTGGGGCTAACAAATTTCATTGATGATTCTGAGAAATCTGCTCGATGCTTTTGTATAATTGTTGATTATCTGGTTGCTGAATTTCTGATTGCTTGACTGGAAGAGATCTGTTACTAACACTAGATGATATGAAACCAATTTCTCCAAATATTTTTCTATTGAGTGAATAGATCTCACTATTTAAAAACCTACTGCAAACATTTTTTATAGTAAACAACATATTAAATGCTGTGCACTCATTGAGGCAAACTTTAAATGTTTATAATCCTTCCTGAATTGGAAGTCAACCATTCATTCTAAGCCAATCCAAAACAAGATTTAAAAGACCCAAACACTGAAACAATTAATAGCAATCTCTGACTGAAGTGTGATGGAAATATTAATAAAATCAAAGAATTCTTTTATGCAAATCTTACTATTTCAAATAAAATGTGGTTTTCATGGTTGTCCATTAATAACGATACTGAATGATGAACTTAGTATGGGATATAAAGTGCTTTATTGCAACTAAATCATCCAACCACCTTGTAACACAACCCTAAGGTTCATGTAGGTGCTCCACTTATCCAGGCTTGGCCAGGAAGGCGTGCGATTTCAAGTCTTTATATGACCACGCAAATAATATTTTGCTATGATGATTTAACCAAGGCTTTTAACAAACGCTAAAATAATGGTTTTTTAATTACGTTGAAAATAAATAAATTGACGCGTTTATCTTTACTAACGTTTTTACATTAGCAAAACGCTTTTAAATAAAGATTTTAATTATCATTGAAAGTTGTATATTTCTTTATTTAAGAAAGTTGTATATTTCTTTATCTAAGTAAAAATAAAAAAAGTAAAAGTTATTAAAAAAAATTTTTTTTTTAATTTTAGACTTTAATAAGCAAAGGTCTCTAATAAAATCTTTATTAAGGCTGTTTTCCACAAGACAATATATTCGCACGAAGCGAATTTTTTTGCTATGACAAAACGATTCCACTTACTTTCTTTCCACTTACTTATTTCCACTTACTTTCTTTCACGCTACTTTTTTTCCCCTGTTGACAATAAAAATGGCAGCAATGAGTTTACGCTGTATATTTAACTAAAAGCAGTTATTACTTTTTTAGCATACTTTCTACTTTGAAGCATGTAAAAATTTCTTTCCATGCATTAATATTACTACTTTTGTCTTTATATGTAAGCTGTGATATCATTTTTAATATAATCATTTTATATAAGGTTTTTTTTACAAGAAAGTATAAGAAAATAAATACTAAATTCTGATATGAACATTTCTATTAAAAAACTGTTACTGCAAGAGCGAACAGCAGGTTTAACTCTATGTAGGGTTTTTCACAAAAAGATTTATCTTCGTGTGGCCAATTGAAGATAAACATTCTTTCATAAAGTGTAAATTTTGTAATTGACAGTGTAAAAATTTAAATTTGTAAATTCTCGATTTAGTTTTATATATAAGTCTGGTTATTTTTTTTTATATAAGTCTTGCTACTTGTTTGATTAGTTTACTCATGCTTGCCAATTTTCAGAATGAGTTCTTATAAAATTTATAAGAACGCCAGGTTAAGAATTTTGTTTTTTGTTACTTTAAAAACAACACGTTTTTGCTTTTTTTTACTGTTGACATCACGCAATATAATATTTAAAACTTGATTGGTTTTCGCTTATAGCGATTTGCAAAAAGTCGAAATGAAGCCAACTTTTCTTGCTTAACAACAAAAAAATTCACTTTGCACAAATTTTTCTTCTTGTGGAAAACGGCCTTTAAAGAACTTCACACAAGAATTATTGAAGTTTTTTTTAAGAAGAAATTAGAATTAACTAACTTCCGTTTTTACTTAAAATTTTATTTTATTGAACTTAAATAAAGTAACAAGTCACTGCTAATGATTTTTTATAAAAACATATATTTTTTTTTATAAGTATTTATTTTTTATTATAAATGTTTTTAAATAAAAAAAATTAAATCAAACTTTTAAATAAATGATTTAATTAATTTTCTTTAGTGCGAAGAATTAAGAATCTTTTTTTAAACTTTAAAATGTGCACGTTTATTAAACAATCGTTAGTTGTTACTTTATTTAAAAAGCGTTTTGCATAATTCACATAATTATATTAAAAAAGCATTAGTAAAGATAAATGGTTTAAAGTTATTTATTCCAAACGTAATTTAAATAATCTTATCGTTATAGTTTATTATTTAATTTAGTTAAGTTTTGATTTTATTTCTGCTATTTTAGTTAAGTTATTTTTCTTTTTTTTTTTGTTTTGTTTTTTTACCAAGATTTATTTTGCTTCTTTTACGATAAGTTTTTTAAGTTTTTTTATAGTTAAGATAATTTTTTTAAGGCGTTTTTAAAACATATACAAATTTTCAAAACATATTAACAACCGTGGTCAAGTTAAGTAAAATCAAATAGTACTTGCGTGGTCATATTATGACGTGAAATCGCACACCTTCCTGGCCAAGCATGCTTATCATAAAATTTTTTTGGTTTACTCTTGGAAATATAAATACAGGTGAAACTGTACTACCCATAGCATTCACTAGTCCCATTCAAAAATCATTTCTTTGTTCCGTTCAATAAGCTTCCCACTTTATCCACAAATAAAGGGCCAAACTAAAAACAGCATTACCAAAAGGTGATAAAATCTTTAGAGACAACTGAATATTTAATAATGGAATTCCAAAACTTCAGTTATCCCTACAAAATCAGAAAAAAAAATTCTTTTTTAAAATTACTTTTTGTTCTTTAAAATACGATATCATTTGATGCCATAATAAGACCATAAAAGGAATAATGATTTGGTTTGTTGAATGGTTGTGTCTAACACTTCTTACCACAGCAGTTTGAATACTTAACCGTAGATGCTTCTATACAAATTTGATTTTGTGCGATTCAATAATTGTCCCATGCATTAAGATTTTCTTTTATGTCATTTTTCCTCCAGTAAAGTCAACTGAACAAATCCAAAAACAAATCTACTTTATTGGTTTGTAATATTAAGTTTCCCAGAAACTTATCTTAAAAGAAACTGAAAATTACAATATAAAAATATTACACTCTAAATTTTATTTCTAGTTGGATTTCCTTGACAAAAGAAGAAATTCTGAAAATATAGGCATACTTTTTAAGACAAATCCTTACCAAAGTCAAATATGTTTAACATTTATTTCTCCATTACTTATTAATATCTCAATTATGATAACATTGTTAACCATTGTTTATATATTGCTATCAATAAATTTGCTAACCATTGTTTAATAATCTATAAATTCAGATTTTTTTAGAAAATTTAAAACCTCCCAAAAAATCCAAAAAACATATAAACAGTTTTATTGCAAAACACAAACAGACTTAAACAAAATTAGACTTAAACATATTTAAACTAAAAAAAGTCTCAAAAAAAAATTGTCTGTAGTAATTAAACACAAAATCAGTATATAGATGATGAACTCCTGGCCCTGGAGTTAATATTTTACAAAAATTGCTCAACATAAATGCACCTGTTTTTGAATATAATAACTATAAATAGAAATTTAGTACAAATAATATAAAAAAAAGTAATTAAATATAAATTAAAATAAAAATAATCACAATAAAATTAACTCACTTCCAGCTAATGTGATATTAAAAACAGATGCCTGCACACCACAGCCAACTCTGGTACATGCTGCAACAGAACAGTGATAAATTGTGTCTGGATTTAAATTATACACTGTTAAATTAAATGTACTGTTGTCAACTTTGTTTGATAAACTATTTTCAGTGTTGTTACATGAATAAATATAATTTAATATAACTCCCTTTCTCATTAAACTTTCAACATCAGCCCATGATAAAAATAAAGTTGTAAAGTTGACTACTTTAAAAGTAAAGTTACGCGGATATCCAGCTGGAACTAAAATAATAAACATTAAATTTAAAAAATAGAAAACAATCTATATAATTTATTGTGATGACTTAATATAAATATAATAAAAATAATAATATAAATCAATGCATTCACAAGATTCTTACAAGATGTTGATGTTCCTCCAAGATTTTGTAAAATAAGCAACTTTTTTAAAATATACTCTACCTAATTCTTTATACATCTTATAATATCACTCTCTTTATATATATATATATATATATATATATATATATATATATATATATATATAATATATATATATATATATATATATATATATATATATATATATATATATATATATATATATATATATATACATATATATATATATATATATATATATACATATATATATATATATGACATGTTTTGACTATATATAATCATCATCAGTTAAAATATATTTTTTCAAAAAGGGTATAAAATATAGTATATAAACTTCCTATATATACAGTAAAATGGGGTCAAATGGAATAGTTAAGGATTTTAATTAATTATTTTTTACGGAAAAAAGATTTTTTTAAAATTTTTTTTTTAAAGTTGTAGAGAATATTGAGCTGTACTTGAATATATAAAAATGCAACAATACCAATCTAAATAAGATAAGCTAGGCTTTTTCTCTTGGGTAGGGTTCAGATATTTTAAAAGATTTAAATTTTCAAAAAAGAGCAAAGTAGGAGTACAAAATTGATTTTATCTTTCAATTTAAGAAAGATAAAATTCATTTTGAGTTGATCTAAGAGTTCTAGATTTGTGACATTATGATTTCACGGTTTGATTTAAAAATTGTCACTTTACTGAGGCTCATTAGGAACTATAGAGAATCACAAAACTCAAGCAGTATAGAATAGAAAAATAAATTCTGCTAGCCTACTGATTTGTTTTTGTAAAATAGAAAACAAATTCATATGATAAACATAAAAGTTTATATTTAAACATAAGTAGATGAGTGTTTTTTTTTTCACCTTGCTATTTGGATTCATTTGCAAGTGCTGCTTTTTTTTTATCCAATAAAAATTCAGATAATAAAAAATATTTGAAACTTTCATCTAAACTATTATGTCAGAAAACATTGAATTATATTTCTCAATGAAGTATGTTTTTGTTTATAAAATAGTATTAAAAACTACATTTTTAAATTGACTTATCTTATTTTTCTGAGGATGAAAGTTCAATGTTTGATATACTCTTTGTTGCTAAATATATGATAAATCTATATTCAGCTTTTTTTTTATTCTTGTGGCAATGTTTTATTCCTTTGATGTATTTTTTTTTAATATTTCATTTCTTTTGATTTAAAACATGTATCACCATGATTGGTTGAAATTTGGACGATTTTAAATCAAAAAACACTAAATCAATTGTAATGATTTGATAATGATAATGATGCTTGCATAATTATTTTCCTGTGAGTGGGTTTAGTTTTGCTTACTTATCACTAGTTTTTGCAATGTCGAGTAAAATTTGAAAAGCATGTAAAGTTCCAAAATCAACTGTTGGAATTGTTATAAAACAAGGAAAACAATACTGTAAAAAGAAAATCAGGAAGCAATGGAAAATCAAGATTTATTTCCAAAAAGAAGGCAAAATCAATAGTTGCCTTAATTCATTAAAATTCAACTCAGTCAAAATAAGATTTAGCTACAAAGTTTAAATGCAGTAGATCTTTCGTTTAAAAAAAGAAAAATCTGAAAGCATAATACAAGAAAAAAATACCAAGATAAACTAGGTAAACCTAGGTAAAAAATACTAATGTAATTTTATTTGCAAAAACAATAGTACTGCAAATACATTTTCAAAAACTACATTTATACTTTTTGCCTATGTTTACATATAGTTCTTCATTGCTCTTTATGATCATGATTTTTTAGTTTATTTACACAGCCTGTGTCACATGTCAAAAAAAAAAGTAAAAAATTTGTTTCAACTCCAGCCAGAAGCGAATTGATCTACAAGACACAAATTCCAGCTGGAATTCCAGTGCATCCCTAATTTAAATTCAAAAATTTCTTATTGGATTTTTCATATTTTTTTTTTATACATTAAAAGTAATTAAATCAACAGTTTTTTTTTTTTTTTGGTTAATTAAGTTAACTGGCTGTTAACTTTATGTCCTTTGACAAGATTAGAAAACAATCTCTGCTTCAAAGACTAAGATGTGGATTCTCAAAGAATAAACAAAAACTGTACAGAAAATTTATGTACCGAAGCATAAGGAGGCTGGGGTAAATCTAAGAATCAAAGTGTAAAAAACTAGAAACCTAACCAATTTTGTTGTCTGTTTCTTTAAGCACAGAAAAACTGACATTAATATCATATCTAGCATATTAACTATAATCAAATAGATCAATATTTTAGTGCAAAAGAAGTTATTATGGCAAAAAAATCTCAATTTTTTAATTTTTTTTTTCTTCTAAAAAAAGTGTATAATAAGTAAATGCTAAAAAGATTTATTTCTAGAAAATAAATAAATTTAAAAAAATGAATAGAAAAATGAACATCATAAACAGTATAAAGCATGTTTTATTATAAAAAATATTTTAGTGAATGAATGAACTTGAAAAGATTTCTAATTCAAAACCAATTAGACACACTTTTCTTTTTCAAGGATCGATGTGTGAGTTTAATGAATATTGACTTTGTATGATGAAAATTGCTTAACTTGCACTAAGAATATGACTTGTCACCACATTTAAACAACTTAACGTATTTTTTGCAAAATTTATGGCAACCACAAAGATTTTTTGAGAAATGCAGCACAGTACAATTATAGACTAAATTTTTTAGCAAGACGTTTTTACATTCTTTACAGCCTAAAATTACATCGTCTGCTTCTTAGACCTAGAAACTTTAGTCATAGAAATAAGATTTAATTTAAATTCAAAAAAAAAACTCTATTAAAGATATATGGAATATATTTTTATGGGATATATTCTAATAAAGATAAAAACTTTATTTATTACTATTGTAATAAATACAATCTTTTATCCATGAAAATGATATATATATTTCAGGTTTATATATTTTGAAGTTTTTGTATACAACAATAATTAAAATTAATAATAAATGTAAGATAAATGCAAAAGGAAACTTGACGCATAAAGGTTTATTTTATCACAATCTGACATCAATGCGCAATATCTATTTACAAAGACCCATATTTTAAAATTAAAAAATGATTTATATGTTTCTTTGCAAACACCAACAATACTACTAGTAAGGGGTCGTCCATAAAGTAGGTATGCTTTTTTTTCATTCACCCCCCCCCCCCCTCCCGCATTTTGTAATACACTTTTTTGAGTACCCTCCACCTCCCTAAAAGTACCTACGCTTCTAACCTATTTACCTAACATTTTATGATTTTTTTAAAATTTAGTGTCTCCTTTCTTTTTATAACTGACCCACTGCCCTCCCATTTCATATATACCATTTGCTAACTCCTTCTTCCCCACCGAGCGTACGTACTTTATGGACAATCCCTAATACTAACACTATTAAGTTTAGCAATTATATATAGAGATGTGGCTGTACAGCTGCTTACTAAATTTTTTTTAATTACATGCCAATTCAGTTAAATAAGGCGTAACGCTAGGAGCCATTCATAAAGTACATACGCAGGTATGGGGGAGGGGGAGTTTCCCAAAACCGTATGAGCGCATACAAAGGGGGTGTTAAAGACAATGAGTATGTGGACGGTTTGACTACTAAATTTTTTAATAACATTGAATTTCAGGTCTGTAACAAATCAGAATTTTATTTTTTTCTGACTTCAGTCACAATTTTTTTTTTAATTTCTTTTGCAAATAATAAGGGGAGAAATAAATCAAGTTTATTTTGAAAAAAAAATAATGCACACATACGCAGAGAAGGGTGGGGGTGGGGTCTTTGAAAGCATACAGGTTCGTACAAGAGGGGAAATCTTCAAAAGCGTACAGGTTTGTACAAGGGGAGAGGAAGGGGGTTCTAATATCAGTGGTTTTACTCTGTACATATTTTATGGACGCCTCCTTAGTAAATTTATATTTAAGACCTAATTAAAGTCTTGTTTTTTTTGCATTACGTTACATCTCAATTAGTTAGATCTTTGAAAACCATTCAGCTTTTAAAAGTGTAACCAATTGAGACGTAACATTGCAAATTAAAACTTTACTTTTTTTTTGTGACAAAGTAACCAATCGAGACGAAGCTATTTCACAATTAAAAACAAAACAAAACACCAAGTTTATTTAAATAATTTTTAATTAAAAATAAGAGAATGTAATTTTGTTACCAATTGCAACCGATTAAGAAATTTAAAATGGAGAGAGGTAGCCAGATTATTTTTGTACCTATAAAATGCTTTAAACATTTAGCTGCTTGATAAAATTATAAGATGTTTAGCAAAATTCAACTAAAAAAACCGCATATGGAAAAAAAAAAAAACAATCTTGAGATTTGTATGCCATTTTTCATTTTATAACATCTAGATAATTTATAAACAAAAAATTTAAGCCCTCATTGTATAAATAATGAATGATATTTATAAAAAGCAATAGTTTTTGCAATAAAAGTCATAATTTTAAAGATCAGATATAAAAGCCATGATATATATAAAGATAAATGTATAAATATATGTATATATATATATATATATATATATATATATATATATATATATATATATATATATATATATATATATATATATATATATATATATATATATATAAATATATATATAAATATATATATATATATATATATATATATATATATATATATATATATATATATATATATATATATATATATTTGAAAGATGACATCTTGTATGAGAGTATATTATATATTATTTTAAAACATCAAGGAATACACTTTCTCTCAATACTAATAATTTTATTTTGTAAGAAATTTTCTGTAGTAAGCATATTTGTAAAATAAAATAAATTTTTTAACTGACATGTTTGTTGAAAATGGGTACAATGAAAAGCTATTGAGGAATATTACACACCAATTTCATCAAAAAAAGACAAAATAAAAACACAATTCTATCAGAATACAATAATCTTCCTGTAGTGTCTTTACCATGGGTACCAGGCCTTTCACCAAAACTTCGAAAAATATTCCAAAAAGCAGGGTAAAGAGCAGTATTTAAATCAAACCCAAATTTAAGATCTTTATTAACATCAAAAAACAAATTAAAACTACCAAGTAACAGCCACCCTGGAACCTATATAATAAAAAGCAACTGCTCCAAGGTCTACATAGGTGAAGCAAAAATTCAGTTCATATGTATATATATATATACACATATATATATATACATATGTATATATATGTGTGTGTATATATATATATTTTTTCAAAGTTGAATAAGATTTAGGGGGCCGTCTCAAATCTGAAATTTAAATGTTTACATTTAAATTTCAGATTTATTGATAATAGTGAAGCTATCGAAATAGCTTCACTATTATCGATAGGTAAATGAAAACTTATCAAATTTTAACCATAGTAATGTGACATGAAAACTACATGATGTGGGACTTTTTGGTTGTTATTAATTACTTATTAATCGACTTATTGGTATTAAAAAACCGTTTATCAATAAGAAGGCCTTGTTACAATTTGCCAAAGCTGACCTAAATTGGACAATCAAAAAAAGGTTGAAAAAAAGTAGCTTTAACAGACCAAATCTAAATTTAATTTTTTTAGAGCGATGGTAGACAACACAAATGATGTCCAATTGGCACAAGAAATGGCGCTTGTTATAAAATCCAACTGTAAAACATGGTGGAAGAAGTGTGATGGTTTAGAGAATTCTCTCAGAGCAACAAGATGGCCTTTGATTGAGATCAAAGGAAATATGAGCACTTCAATTTACAAGGACATTTTAGAAAACAATCTTTTATTATATGCTGAAGAAACAATGCAGCCAAATTGGATATTTCTGCTAATAATAATGTTAAACACACATCGAAGTTGTTGGATGTGTGCACTGGAATTGGAACACTTATGGGAACCTTAATAGTAGTGCTTACTCATGTGTGTTTGACACGATACTCTTGGCAGCAAGTTAATGGTTAAATAGGAAATGTGTTTGCATGGTTAAAAATTCAAATAGTTTTTTTTAATTCAAGTTTGAAAGTATTAAGTTTTGGTCTATTTTATAAGATTATATCCACAGCAATAGAGATGGTTTCATCCAATAGAATATTTATAAACAAACTTTCCACATCAAAGGAGACTAGGTAAGAGTTAGCTACTCTTACTTCTTCAAGTTTATTAAAAAAAGGTGAGAGGATGTGGGAATTGAAAAACAATAATAAAAATAGCAATATTTATAAAGGTTTCAAAGTTGAGAGTTCTTAGATTGCCATCTCAATAACAAGACTTAAACCCAATGGAACACTTATGGGAAACTTAATAGTAGTGCCCACTCATGTGTGTTTGACACTCATGTTTGTTTGACTACTCTTGACAACAATTTAATTAAATCAAATCAAATGTATTCTGAAATAGATTTTACATTTCATGGACTATTTTAAGTAAACACCATAATAAGAAACTAAAACAAACAACAAAAAAAAAGCAACGTAAAACAGTAAAATACTTAAACTAAAAACATTATGGAATAAAAATTAAGTAAGAAATTTGATTAATTTAAGACAAATTTCAATTTGCTTTTATACATCTATCTAGGATGTAAGACTTTTATATACCTAATTAAAATACAGCAATAAAAGAGAAATAGAATATAATAATATACAGTAACAATATTATAAATAATATAGTAATATAAGTATTAGTAATAATAATAGGCAATAATAATAAAAACTCCAGTTAATGATAATAATAATCAAAACAAAAATACTAATGATAAAAATAACAATTCTATTAATTATAATAATAATAACAACAATAATATTAATAGTAATAATAATAACAAGAACAAAAACAATAACAATAACAATAATAAAAATAGCAATATTTATAACAGTGAGAATTGAAAATAGTATAGTGATATAAAAAGTGATATAAAGTCAAGTTAATGGATAAAAAAAGTCTTTAACACATTTTTAATGCAAAGTGTAAAAAATTTATATGGGTATATTAAGAAAATAGTTAAATGTAGAAAATTTTCATTAGTTTAGCATTACATACAAACATTTGCAATTGTAAACATCTTAAGCATAAGTTAAGTAGCAATCCTGTGTAATGCATGTATAATATAATTTTAAAAAATTTACTAACAATTTTAAGTTTTTTTTTTCTTAAACTATTTTGATTTGTATTTTAAAAATGGCAAGAATAAAAAAAAAATAATAAGTTTTGTTGCTTAGTGGTGGATTTGAACCTATGGATACATTTGGATGTTGTGACAGCCCACTTAATTGCTGAGCTACAGATATGTGATACATCTAAAAACAAATCATTTTATAAACTTTTTTAAAATTTCAATTTTCAAGCTGTAACTATTGTAAAAACTATTAAATTTTTAATGTGATTTAAATTATACTTTTTCATGTTCATTAACGCGCGTAGATATTTTCTTTCTTATTTCACCACCTGTATAATCTAAATGCTGAACACCCACAATTAACATGTCTGAATTAACTCTCATATTTCTTTTTTCAATTTTTTTTTTCTTGGAGGAAATTAAGATTACTATTAAGATAAATTTAAAAAATTTTGAAAAATAAATCTATATTGCATTCTAATAGTTTCTGAATAAAAATTTTGGAAAATTTTTATTCAGAAACTATTAGAATGCAATATAGATTTATTGTGACATAAAGTGATAATTAAATAATTACTATAGTGAAACAATATTTATATATGGTCTACAAAAATCTCTTTTAAGTATAATGTTTAGTTTTGGTATCCACGACAATATGATAATTTTTCTCAAATAAATTTTTTTGAAAAATCTTTGTTAAAAGTGTTCTTATAATATACTTCTATATTATTAGTTTTTTCAATATTTTCTCATGATTAATGATTTACAGATGTAGTAGCCCTTATTTACAACAACTTAAGAAACAATAAAAAAACATAGCATCTTTCAAAACATAGCATCTTTCAAAAAAACATAGCATCTTTCAAAAGCTACAAAAAAAAAAAAAAAAACAGAAATATTATAATTACTCAACCAGTCAAAGTTAATGGCGTTATTATATTAGACCAAAATCTGTATCTTGAAAAAATTTATGAAATTGTTAATGATACCACTAAATTCAAAAAGATTCCTAAATATCCTACTGTACACAGAGAAGGCAAACTACAAAGTTTCTTTGCAAAATTAAGAATAAAAGTCTATTTAACGCCGACAAACATAAAAATATTTATTCTACTGGTTCAACAATTGCTAGAATGCATGGAAAACCTAAAATACATAAATTGACCGCTAATAATAACATTCCTTCCTTCAAACCCATTGTTTCTTCATTAGGAACATACATCTACAAATTATTTAAATTTTTAAGTAATTTACTCCATACATTCCAATGAATCACTGTACTAAAGATAGCTTCACCTTTGTTAATGAACTTAAATAAGTAAGAGTAGCTAACTCTTACCTAGCTTAGCTCTCCTTTTGATGTGGAAAGTATTACCCCATTGGATGAAACCAACTCAATTGCTGTGGGTTTAATTTTAAAAAATAGACCAATCCTAAATATTTCCAAACTTGAAAAAAAAAAAGATGTTTGAACTTTCAACCATGCAAACGCATTTTCTATTTAACAATGAAATATTTGATCAGATCAATGGAGTAGCAATGGGATCTCCGTTAGTTTCTGCTTTAGCTAACTTATTCATGAGTCATCACAAAAACATTTTGTTGCCAAACAATAATTGCAAAAAAGTAGTTTTATACTAAAGGTATGTAGATGATATCTTTTGTATCTTTGAAAATAACGATGATGCACTCACTTTTCTAGAATATTTAAATAAACAACATCCTAACCTCAAATTTACTAAAGAAGAAGAAGTTTGAACTTTCTCAATTTAATGATTAATTCTGTAAATAATAAATTTGATACTTCAACATTTTATAAAAAAATTTACAAAAAGGTTTACTGGCTAATTTTACCAGCTTGACTAATATTAATTATGAACTAGGACTCATTAAAACTCTCATTGACAGGGCATTCAAAATCAACAGCAATTGGGTAAGAAATTTTGTAAAAACTATTAAATTTTAAGCCAATGTAGCAAAAAAATTGTTTATATACAGAAACAAATTTTTTTATACCTAATGATGTCAATTGATATTGATGAAAAATGTTGTCAAAAAGTTTAAAAAAAAAATTGCTATTTGTTTGAAATATATATATGTATATATATATATATATATATATATATATATATATATATATATATATATATATATATATATATATATATATATATATACATATATATATATATATATATATATATATATATATATATAAATATATATATATATATATATATATATATATATATATATATATATATATATATATATATATATATATATATATATATATATTTATATATATATATATATATATATATATATATATATATATATATATATATATATATATAAATATAAATATATATATATATATATATAGACTTACCATCTTCATCTGTTTGATAGCGAAATACTTGCCCATAAACATAGAAACCAAATTCATTTTTTACACCTGCAGAAAATTTATAAAGT